GCAGCAAATAGATTTCGTTTCAAGAAAACAGATGCAAACTGTTGACCCAACTAGAATATAAATTACATCCATAGACAGAAAAAAAACTAAATTTCTCCAATCAAATCAAAAGGTGGCATCAAAAAGACTAAAAAAAAAAAGCAAATGAATTTAGATAACAGCCATTCAAACATGAAATCTCCATCAGAAAGAGAGTACATACCTCACTTAACTTCTCCAAGGTCGCCAAGGCATTGGTCTGCTCCTTAGGTTTCCCAAAAAGCCTGTTCAGCATGTTTGCTGTCTTCTAAATACCCCGCTGAGGAAGATAGCCCTCGAATTCACAATCGCCGCGAACCCTAAATGAAAGTTGTTCTGCGGGTCGAAGAAGCAGAAATCCGAAAAGAAACCCTTCACGACCGATACTTAGAAAAACTAAGGGCGATACGGTTGGAAGGGAAATCTGACTGTATATCCGACTTTGATTATTTTAAATTATAAATTATGCTTTTCTTTTCTTTTTTTTAGGAAATTCACACTTTGGTAATTTTATATATATGCCATGTAATTTTTATGTATTTATATATCTAATGACAAAAATTTATATTTATATTTATCACCCTTCAGCCATAAAATTATCCATAAAAATATTTTTTTTTTCCTTTGAGAAATTAATATTAGCAATATATTATATATAACATTAAAATTTGAGCGCTATGCATGTAAATATGAAAATGAGATAATAATTTTCATGTCATTATTATACAATTGCACATCTTGTTGTAAAAGGTATTACAAAATATGTAAAAGAGATATGTAAATCAATATGATGATAAATCTGGCTGAATTAACCGAGCCATCTATAAGGGTGTAAACGAACCGAACACGAACAAACAAAGCTTGTGTTCGTGTTTGGTTCTTTTGAAATTTAGTTTGTTTGATATAAGCTCGTGTTCGAAATTGTTCGTGAAGTCGTTGTTCGTATTATTTTTTTAACGAACGAACCGAACACGAGCTATTCGCAAACGACGAGCCAGTTTGACATCCCTAATATTAATATATATATAAAACACGAATGAATAGAGTTTGTCTTCGTGTTCGGTTCGTTTGAAATTTAGTTTGTTTGAAGTAACTTTGTGTTTGAAATTGTTCGTGAAGTCACCGTTCATGTTTGTTTGTTAACGAAGGAGCCGAACGCCAGCCAGCTTGACATCCATAATACTAAGATATATAAATAATATATTATCTTAATTATATAACTTATATTATATAAATATATAATATCTATATTAATATATTACTAATATAGTATATTAATATATTATTATTATAAATTTATTATATATTATAATTTATAAAATTAAATTTTTTAAAATATCATAAATTTTTTATATATAAATATTTTAAATTATTTTATATTTCGAACAATAACGATTCGAACACGAACGAATGCATCACTGTTCGTGTTTGGTTTGTTTAACTAACCGAACGAAAAAAATTTGTTCACATTCGTCTCAATTACTTATCGAACGAATCGAACGCAAACTCATTGACGAACCGAACACGAACTGTTTGCGAACAACGAGCTTTTTTGACAGCCCTATTCATCTAAAACTTTTAAAAAATTCCTGACATTTCTAAAGATTAGAAGAACTATTTTGATTTTAAAAAAATAAAATAAATTATATTAAATATTCATTTCATCATTTTTCTTTTTTAGAAAACACATAGTAAAATTAAAAAAAAAAGGAAAATAACTTCTCACTCTCAAGCCTCATTGTCAAAATTACATATTATAGTTTCATTAATCTTAAGCTATATATTTTTTACAAGCACTTAAAATTTATTTAAAGTTTTACAATTTTTTGAGAAAAACATTTTATTTATTTTCAAGCTTCATATAACTTCTTCTAGCAAACTTTTAATAGAAAAATAGAACCCTTCTAGACATTGTTAGAATTTCATTAAATAGATTTAGTCAACACAAATAATTTTTTGGTTAGAAGTAACAAGCATAGATTATTATATAATCATCATGTTAAATGTCAATTTATTCAGTCAATGAACCCCTTCTGAGATTTGTAGAGGTAAAAAAATTAAAACATATCTCATATTATATATGGGTGTACATGTTTTGTTCTTAAGAATAAAAGAGGTGGTTTGAAGAAATATTATTTTATATATGATAAAAAATTTGTATATATTTTTTTAGTCACAACAAATCATATTGAACTTCCAATAAAAGCACCATAATTTTAAGAGAATCCATACATGACACCTTTAATGAGGCATCATTGTTGCAAAGCACTCCAAATTTCTCACATTTCAATATTAAGTAGGCATCTATAAACCTCCCATGATTTATTGATCTATTTATTAATTCTACTTCTTTTCATAATGTGGCCCCATCTAAATTTAGTTTTCTCCAAATATTTTCTAATAATATGATTATTGATGATAGTTATAATTGTCAGCTGAAATCTCATCTCAGTGGTGTAGAACACAGATTAATCTTGATGTCCTGACTAAAACTTGTAACTTCCCTCATTTTGATATGAATATTAAGGCCATAAATTGATTTTTTTCACTCTTTTATCGGTCTAAGCTCATACTTAATTTCATCAAATCCAATCATAAGAGCGCATCATTAGTCTAAAAACACTTTTTAATGAAGGCTACCACATCTAATATACCTTAAGACAATTTAAGAAATGTTGATAAGCCTATTATGCTCTTTCTACTCAAGTCTTTTATAGTGCTATATTTTAGTTGCTTTTAACCTTTTCTTAAAAAGCTAAATCTTAAAGAGGAGGATTTTTTTCTTAAGTTACCATTTAACTAATTTTTATTTAAGTTCTAAGTAAAATTTCCTCATCTAAATGAAAAAGATTATTAACCTCATGATATTGGATGCTCAATTTAAGGATTATAAATATACTATTTTTTTTTTTAAGGTACAATAATTTTTTGATTTGATGAAACTAAAGTTTAAGCAACAAAACTATAATTTCATCCACCAAGGAAAATCTTTTGCTCCTATTGCAATACTATTTTTAGCCACCCAAGAAAACTCTCGAGAAATAAAAACTTCTAAAACAAGCAAAATTCTCTTACATTATGATCTCACGTATTCAGACAACAAGGTCTACCTCTAAGGTCATTCTACTCTTTTATATATATATATATATTTCTATTTTCATATTACAAGAGCTTGTTTAGGATCATTTTTATTTTTCATTCTTTATTTTTGTTTTTTTATCATTTTAAAAATATATTTATTTAGTGCATTTTTTCATGATTTTTTTTTTTATAAATTAACCTGTTTTCAAAAACACTCAAACATCCAATTGAAAACCGAACCAGACATCCAACGGGAAGATTGAAAGGTTTAATGTTCATTGACTTGACCGGGGTTAAACCGGGGGTTGAACCGGATGACATAATAAATATAAAAATTAATTAAATATGGCCTGAATAATGCAATAGTAATATAATAAATAAATAAAACAAATATTTTTTGGGCTCGATTTATAAGCGAGCCGAACACATAAATGTTTTTTCGTTCGTGGTTATATATATATATTAGAGAAAATGCTAAAATTTTTTATTTTTAAAAATTACTTGAGTAGTATATTAATAAAAAATACTGGTTTAGGTGTTCGATATGTAAATAGATAAAATTTGAGTGGTGTGCATTTAAGCTTTTCATCCATAAAATTTCAAATCTTTGGTAACTGAAATTTGCAATATAAATATTCATAGAATACCAAAAAATAAATAAATAAATAAGCGGTTCGGTCGAACCACGTTTTGC